ATGTCATTTATTGAAGGAGGGAGGAGGTCTTAAATACAGGCTTACAGCACAATGGGAGAACCCCGGAGGGCAGAAGTTCGCTACTGATGTTTTACAATCTTGCATCTAAGCTGCGAATGCCTATTATTCAGGATACACAGACAAGGAACTTCCCTTAAGCATTCAGGAGGGTAGAACCTGACAGGGAATTAGCATAGGGAGGATATCAAGGTCAAGGTCCGCAAACAAGGCAACAGTTACCCAAAACGGGGGTCCCCCTTTTACTAAAAAATGAGCTTCTGACTTGGGTTACGTGGGATGTCAGTAGGTCACCTTACCCATCATGGAGATGCCTGCCCAGGCCACACAGGTGCTCTGTCTTAGGTAGGTGGGTGCCCCCCAGGCATTACCCGTTTCTGAATACTCATTATCATACAGGCTCAATCATGCGTGAGCTGCAGTGTTAACTGTTGCCAAAGATCTCAAAGTGGCACTGGGCTTGCAATCTGTTTGTTAGACACAGAAAAGACCAACAGAGGTCCTATCTCACCCATAGCCAGTAGGCTAAAAGCAACTGAACCATTCCCTTCCTTAATGAGCCATACTGTACGTTGCAGTCCTTGTAAGATAGTATCCCAAAAGCAATTGGAACTTGAGTTTATAAATTTATAATTTTCAAAGCCAATTGAGATTTTTATAACTACTGAATTAAATTTATCATGCCCAATAGAATGGAAGATTAACTAACTGTGGTAGCTACTTTTGTTGCCAGGGTCTCCACTGTGCTAGCTGTAATAAGCAATTATGAAATGGTAATCCCATTTCATAGTGCTAGAACTAGACAGACAAAGTCTAAATCTTGGGCATATTTATTGCCAGTAATGGACAAATATCCAATTTCTAGATTATCTGAAGTCCAGCTTCCTCAATCTGTGGCTGAAAACAATGAATAATGTTAATATCTGTTAGTTGTGTGAAACTGATGAGATAATGAGTTGGGGCTGAGAGACTGCTTCTAATTCATTTCTGACTTTTTCTGGCATATTTATGAAGCGTTCACCAAGAAACATTTCCCCAATGGTTTGTGTGTCCTTGTCTGTTCTGTACTTCCCTGCTGGTGGAAGTAGCAGATAGCTTCTCCCAGAAGGTTATAGCTCCCAAGGGGATTTCTGTATTCTCTGCCTTTTGCCTCATGGGCCATTTGTTGTTCCAGATTCCATGTGATGCAATTCCTAGCTGCAAAGGCCTCAGTATCCATCCACTTATGGACGGAAGGTAGGAAGCTGCATCTCACTTTAAGGGGAAAACAGATTGTATTTCATTCATATACTTATTACTTATTAAGCTGACAAGCCTCCACTCCAGTGAGCCTGCCTGTCCAGGGCCACATAAAAGGGCCAGTCTGGAATTGAGCAGGCAGGAGGAAAGTAAAAGTAAACAAGAGAATGTGTGTCTTAGGGGGATAATACTTTCTTGGAAAACTATGTAGGAAGCAAGAGATACAGAGAAGGCTATAAATTACAACCAAGGGTGATGCTACCCTGGCCAAAGCATCTCAATTGTGATAGCTTTCATATTCCCTATGAAATAAGCATGTTTCCTGAAATGTGCTCCATATGCAATTGGGTTGGTAACTGTGTAATAACACAGGTTGGAAGATCTCTCCAGTGACTACCTGCCTCACTAACTGGGAAGGCAACATGACATCAAAGTCACAGCTTTTCAAACTATGAATAATACACTCATATCTCTGACTCTTTTATTCTCCTCCTCTCCTCTTCTCTCCTCTCCTCCTCTCTCCTCTCTCCTCTCTCTCTCTCTCTCTCTCTCTCTCTCTCTCTCTCTCTCTCTCTCTCTCCTCTCTGCACCACCCACAGCATAATCCCCAAACTTCTTTTGGTCAAAGTTGGTGAGATTTGACCATTAGCTCTGGCAAGAGTTATGCTGATTCCTGAGGAGCCACTAAGATCTCAGCTGTGGCTGAAGTTATTCGCCGTGCTTGTATCATAATTGATTTTTATTCCTCTTATCAACATTAGGTTTAAACAGATGTGCCTGTATGTATTGGAAGGGAGGGGTCATCACGCATGAACCCCATGACAGGTAATGATACAGCCAATGCCTGGTATGAGGTCATCATTTACACAAAAGATGAGAGGCCAGAAAATGGATTTAGACCACATCAACTCTCACTGTATCACTCAAAGTGGTAACATAACGCATGTTGGATGACTTCATGGTATGAGCAATTGCAAGCTAGTTTCCTACAAGTACTGTCTTGTACACAGAGATACCTGTGAGGAAGAATGCAGGGCTACTAGTTTTCAGTGGTGGTTTTCAAATCCTGTAGGTACCAAAAAGTACTTTTCCAAACAGAGTCTCTGTGCTGCTTTCACGGTAGTGTGTATCTATCCTAGAAGGGCCCAGAGTGGCTTTTTGGTGGTTCTAAAGAACAGAGTAGGAAAGGGAAAGCAAAAACTTTAAGGGGCCCATGAAAAGAATGGTACCCCAACCTGTCCAGTTGTAAATGCTTTCCATTATTCCAACTCAGTCACCCTAGGGCTGACAGGGGACTAGCTTGAATGCTGGTTATGCTTCGATAGTAAGTCAAGCCAAACTGAGTAGCGAGGAATGATGGCTCGGGATGAGCTAGTAGGGAGAAAGCTGGTCCTCCAAAGAACTTTGTGTGTTTAGATATGCCTGGTATCAGGGGAGGAGATGTTGGTTAAAATCATTGGAGTTGCCACAGCAATGAAATTAAGAGATTCCCATAAATTTAACATAGTAACAAGGAAAAGTTTCATTCACCTGGTGATCTTAACAGAGAGTATGCTTCCATGCATATTGGGAAGCCAATGGAAAAGGCATATGTGTTCTTTGAGTCATGTGCCAGCATCATCTGAAGGTTTACTGACTTTATTTAGGACTTTTTATTCATATTGTTTTTAGATTTAAATCATTTTATATAAAAAGGAGGGTTATTCACATATACAATCAATACAAATTTCAATGCAGTATGTTGTTTAGGTTTGGTCTACTTGACACAAACCAGTGTCATCTGGAATTAGGATTGGAGAAATGCTTCCATAAAACAGGCAAGTCTGTGAGACACTTTTTTGATTAATGGTTGATGTGGGAGGGCCCAACCCACTGTGGGCAGTGCTACCCCTGGGCAGGTGTTTTGGGGTAATATAAGAAATTGGGTTGAGCAAGCCATGACGAGCAAGTAAGCAAGCAGCGTTCTTCCATGGCTTCTGCTTCAGTTTTCCCTCCAGATTCCTGTTCTGCTTGAGTTCTTATCCTGTTTTCCCTAGCTGATGGATGGTTACCTGGAAATATAACATGAAATAAACCCTTTCTTCTCCAAGTTGATTTTCGTCATGATCTTTGCCACAGCAGGAGAAAGCAAACTAGGAAATGCAGAGAACAGCTACAGTGATAAATGATACAAATCATTTATGGTTTTGGAGAGGAGGTAAAAAGACAGCTCTTATCAGTGATGAGACTGATGTTCTCATAGTCCAGGAGCAGCTTTGTGAGAACCATAGGACCACACATGACCTCAATACAACAATTTACCTTTTGAATCCATTCCAAGAGAATCAAAGGTGAGGCATGTGAGATGAGCATGCAGGGTGCTCATTGTTAGTCATTATAATAGCAAACACTAGAATAACTTAAATGTACACAATGATCAGTGTGACCCGATGCTTGCTGTGGCACTGACACATGGAAGGCAAGACAAGTCAGACTTAGGACATACCCTAAACAACCTGAAAAGTGTTCCCAAGGCAGCATCTGGAAGAGATGCAATTTTAGTGCAATCACACTAAACATACTAGACAGGTGTGTTACTTAACTTTTAGTAGTGATTTTTAGTCGTATACACATATATACATTATGTACACCCTAATTATACATTATTTTGGCTAACATTTCCCAATGAATGAATGAAGACAGAAATATAAAGAACATTGTGTTTTATTATTTATAACTCTCATACAGAATGTCTATGTAAAGACCCTTATATCAATATAGTTAATTTTATAAAATTGCTTATTCTACTTATTAGTAATAGTCAATTTCTGTATACAATATAACCTTTGCACAAACTTAATAATGCATATATAACAAGAAAGGGGAAATGCTTTTCAACATGTTCTCTAGAGCCTGTATATTCAGAAGTAGGTCCCACATTGTTGTCCCTCTCAGTTGCTCTCCTGTGAGTACCAAGGGGCATAAGGAAGTTTACAGAGACCTGGGGAGGGGAGCTATTTCAGTGCCCCATGATGCCCACAGCACCCACAGGAGTCTTCAAAATGCCACAGCTGGCAGGCATCATTAGGATATAATATGATATGATCCCTATTAAGGGGTTGTACACTGGAAATCCAGGCAGTGTGGAACTATGACACTGTATTGCATATGGTGGTAGTAAAGGGGCTGCAGCAAGGTTAGAGTGGTGTGACACTAGACGTCATAGCAGAGAGGGCCTTGGCATCTGACTGCAATGCAGGGGTCAAGCATGCCTCTAGAGATTAACTGAAAGCTAGGCCCATGGAGAGAGCAGACTTCTCTCTCTGCTCATCCAGAGAATAACTGAATACTGGGCCCCTGGACTCAGCAGACCTCTCTCTCTGCTGGACAGGAGGCAACTGTATGGAACGTTACTGTTTTCAATCCGATCTGAAGTATTTATTGAGGGCCCATTACATGCAAAAGGCTAACTGCCATGGTGGCCATGAGGTGTGTGTGACAAAATATTTGTCCTGCAATGCCTATGAGCTAGTGAAGTAAAGCCTTATATAACAGAAGAAAGCATAATAAATAGGCTCCATTGTCTTTCATATTGCTATAGCCCCTAGTGTCTGCCATGCTCTTATTCTGTGAGAACCATCCTCATCATTTACTGCTATGAAGGAAGCTCTGTAGTTTCAACAATATTTCAGTGTATACTCAAACTATTTCTACATGAAGACTATTTGTATCCGTAAGTGATGACCACATAATTTGTTCATTGCTTTGATTAATCTGGAGGTTTATGACAGGTATGTGTCTTAAGAGAGTCCATGTGGTAAAATGCTCTAGCAATGTCAACGTCTCTTGCCAAATCTAGCATCTCTGAAGAAGGCCTGAACTAGAATACATACAAATGATCCGAATCTCACCATAGCATCTCCTGAACTGAGAAGAACAGATGAACTTAATGTGCTTCTTTTGTACTTCCTCAAAACAGTACATTTACGAATTCACATATCATTGAAATCATTTGGGTCTTTGAATACTTGAGCTTCAAATTCCATCTGGCTCTGTAAGATAAAATTACTGAACTTAGTATAGAGTTAAAAAAGAGACAGAACCAAAAAAAAGCACTCTGTGCCTCTCTAATGTCTGTAGAGACATTTTCACAGGGAAGGTAGGTATGGTAGCTGTTCTTGGTTATTACCTTGATTATATCTGATATTAACTAACACTAAGCTGCTGGGTAAAAGACTTTTTCTTGATTGGACTATTTGAGGTGGGACAACCCACCTTAAATCTGGGACACACTTTCTGGTAGTAGCCTATAAAAGGACATGGGAGAAAGGAGCTTTTGCTCTTTGTGTTCTTGCTCCCACTTTCCCTGGCCAGTTGATAGCTTTACTGAGATTCAAACCTACTTCTTTGGGATGCCAATCAATACTGAAGACCAGCTGAGATATCCAGGCTTGTAAAATAAACAACTATTGGATTCTTGGACTTTCTTTTAGAGGACAGTCATTAATAGATAGTGGGACTACAAACCTTAAGCCATTCTAATAAATACCATATATATCTAATCAGTTCTGTTTCTCTTGAGAACCCTGATTAATACAAATTTTGGTGCCAGGAGTGGTTCTAGAGCAACAGAAGTGTAAGGATGAATTATATAAGTACTTGAAATAGGCTTTTCAATTTGCCAGCACCTACAGTTACTGAAACCTTTGCTAGAAGCTTGGAGAGCTCTGAAAACTAATAGTGTAAACTATTTAACAAACTCATTAAAATAAATGCTTTTGATTATTCTGATTTACCTATTGTGAGAAGCAAAATATTTAGTAATTCTGTCTATTAAACTTCTGACAATTTGTGGAAAAATAAGGAAAATAATGATGCTGACTGGTTGCTCTTAGCATCTATAGATGAATTGACCAAGGAAAAGAAAAAACAGTGTGATAAATTAAGCAACTTCTAGCATCTCGAAATACGGTGAAGGATAGCAGTAAACTGAGGGATAAAATTGACTGCATTAATAGTCTAAAGGTGTCTAAGTGTTCCCTGGAAGAGAATCTTTTCTCCAGCAGCCACAGAGCTCAATTTGAAGAAAATCAAGCCAAAGCCCTCATTGTAAGACTGGCTTGGCTGAATTACAGGGAAAATTCAAGTCCTAGCCATGAAGGGTTTGGGGTTTATAGTAAGGGCATTAATTAGTAAAGAACAGGATCCTATAACTTGGAATGCAGATGTGTGAGAGTATCATACTGGGGCTTAGAACTTTGACCCCTCAGATTCTTGAAGATTTATTTCCCTTGAGGAAGAAGTCTCTCAACACTTAGCAGATGATGTATCCCTACCCTTACTCCCTAAAGTACTGTATTTTCCTCATAAGGACATTAGTCCTTTATTATATTTCAATCCAACACTGAATTTCCCAGAAGGAGATGCCAGGCAAGACAGTACTGATGTCTCTCAGGTCCGGCCAATAGATGCCTCTCGACCCATGACCAGACTTAAGGCTAAACAGGCTCCTAAATGAAAGCTAGAAAGTGTAGTCCATGAGGCATGTGCTACACCACTGAAGAGCTTAGTGAGTTTGCTAATTCATTTAAGTAAAAGTCTGGAGAATGTGTATGAGAATGGATTTTAAGGATGTAGGATAATGGTGGGAGGGACACAGAAATAGATCAAGCTGAGTTTATTGATATAGGCCCACTGAATGGAGATTCTAGGTTTGGTATGGAAGATCACAGAATTAAAAAAAAAAAGGTGCCAAAAGTCTGCTTGAATAGTTGCTTGAAGCATTTGTCAAAGATGGCCTCCTGAAAAGGAGTTGGAGATGTCTGATATCCCTTAAGCTTAGTGATGATGAAGGTATTTAAAGGCTCAGGGAAATTACAATGCTAGAGTGGGTATGCTGTGTAAAACCTAATTCTCCATAATGAGAAGTCCCAGAAGACACGCCCTTCACTGGTCCTTCCTATAAGACGCAAAATGATGAGAAGGGCACTAACACATTCAAAGAGCATTGTCTTCACCCTTTTCCTTGTGCCAGACCTTGGGGTCAGAGACATTGCTATGCAGTTGGATGAATTTAAATTAATGGGTTTAACTGAGCTTGAAAGTAGGCAGTATTGAATCACCAAAGACAAGGTGATGTTAGTTATTGTAATAGATAGCATAGGCAAAGCAATGACCATAATGCCTGTTCTATAGTGAGTAGCATGGGCAAATTGATTTTTATGGTGGAATAACTTGTATGGATATTTGATACTGGTTAATTGTTCATGATGTTTCCAGTCATAAAGTAGATAAGAAGCCCACTGCATTTTTGTTTGATCTGTATATGCAAAAATTTTCTCAAACAAATGAAAGAAAAGCTACATTGGATTGTGGCAAGAGGCCTGTGAGCCAATTACCTGACTTGAATGAAGGCACAGCCAGGTCTTTGTTAAAATAACTAAGAGTTTTACTGTTAGCCTTTCTTGAATGCTTCCCCAGAGGGACTTATGACCTTTTTACACTGGGAATAGGGAGACAATCAGACTTCCAGGGTGTATTGGATACTGGTTCAGAATTAACAGTGATTCTGGGAGACCTCAAGAAGCATTGTGGCCATCCATGACGGATTATGGAGGTTAAATGATTAACAGAGTTTTGGCTGAAGTACAATTCATAATAGGTCTAGTACATTGCCAAACTCATCCTACAGTTATCTCCCCAGTTCCAGAATGTATAATTGGGATAGAAATACTTAGAAGTTGGTAGAATTCTCACATTGGTTCTCTGACCTGTAGAGTAAGGGCTATTATGGTTGGAAATTCCAAATGGAAGCCATTGGAGTTGCCTCTGCCAGGGACAACAGTGAGCTAAAGACAGCATTGTATCTCAAGAACTGCATAAATTAGTGCCACCATCAAGGACTTGAAAGGTGCAGGGGTTTAATTCTTCCCTTACCTCTCCTATCTGGCCAGGGCAAAAGACAGATGGTTTATGGAGAATGACAGTTGATTTTCAAAAATTTAAACAAGTAGTGATTCAGTTGCTTTGCCAGATGTAGTGTCCTTACTTGAGCAGATTAACACATCTCCTGGTATATGGTATATAGCTACTGACTTAGCAAATGCCTTTTTCTTGGTAAACTGTCCATAAAGACAACCAAAAACCTTTTGCTTTCAGTTGGCAAGACTAGTAGTATTACCTTTAGTTTTACTTCAAAGATATATTAACTCATTAGCTCTGTGTCAGAACTTAGTTTGAAAGAATCTTGATCACTTGTCTCTTCCACAAAATACCACACTGTTCCACTATATTAATGATTTTATGCAGACTAGACCAAGTGAACAGGAGGTAGCAACCACTTTGGGCTTGTTGAAAACACATATGCACATCAGAGAATGGGAAATAACTCTAACCAAAACTCAAGGGCCTTCTACCTCAGTGAAAAGTTTAGTGATGCAGTAGTGTGGGGCATGCAGAGGTATTCCTTCAAAGGTGAAGGATATATTACTGCATTTGGCTGCTCCCACCACCAAAAAAGAAGGCCAGCATTTAGAGGCGATTTGGATTCTGGAGACAGAACATTCCTCACTTGGATGTGTTACTCGAGAATATATACCAAGTGACTTGAAAATCTGCTAGTTTTGAGTGGGGGCTGGAGAAGGAGAGGGCTCTTCAACAGGTCTAGACCACTATGCAGTCTGCGCTACTATCTGAAGCATAGAACCAACAGACCCAATGGTACTTGAGATGTCAGTGGCAGATACTGATGCTGTTTGGAGCCTTAAGCAGGTCTCTAGAGGGAAATCACAGAGGAGCCCTTTACAGTTTTGTAGGAAGGCTCTACCATCATCTGCAGACAACTACTGTCCCTTTGAGGGATAGCTCTTGGCCTTCTATAGGGACTTAGTGGAAACTGAACATTTGCCAGTGGGCCATCAAATTACCCTGAGTCCTGAGCTGCCAATCATAATCTGGGTGTTATCTGATACACCAAGCCACAAAGCAGAACATTCACAGCAGCAATCCATTATGAACTGGAAGTGGTATATACACGATCAGACCAAGCAGGTCCTGCAGGTACAAGCAAGTTACATGAAGACGTTGCTTAAATGCCTGTGGTTTCTACTCCTCTTACAGTGCCATCTGCCCCCTAGCATGCACCTGTAGACTCATGTGGTGTGTCCCATGATGACTTGACTGAAGAAGAAGAAACTACGGCCTGGTTTACTGATGGTATAGAGGTACCACCTAAAGGTAAACAGTTAGAGAATTACAATCCTGTGTATGAGTATCCTAACAGATACTGGCAAATGGAAATCTTTATATTGGGCAGAATTCAGGTATCACACATTCATACATTTTGTTTGGAAGGATAAGGGGCCAAATGTGTGATTGTTCACCAATTCACGGGTCATAGACAATTCATTGGCTGGATGACCAGGGACTTGGAAAGAGCATGATTGGAAAATTGGTAAGAAAGACATCTAGGGAAGAAGTATGTTCATAGATCTTTCACACAGCATGGGAAGATACTTATTTCCCATGTATATGCTCATCAAAAGGTTGACTTCAGCTAAGGAAGAGTTTAACAATCAAATAGATATAATGACCCATTCTGTGGACAGTCAGCCTGTTTTCCCAGCCATTTTTGTCATTGCTCAGTGGGCCAAAGAACAAAATAGCCATGGTGACAGAGATGGGGATTATGCATGGGATCAACAACATGGACTTCAACTCACCAAGACTGACATGACTATAGCTGCTGCTGAGTGACAAATCTGCCAATAGCAGAAACTAACACTGAACCCTCAATATAGCACTATTCATTGGGGTTACCAGTCAGTGACCTAGTGGCAGGCTGACTACGTTGAACCACTTCCTTCAGGGAAAGGACAGCACTTTGTCCTTTTGTGATATATACTCATTCTGGTTGTAGGTTTGCCTTTCATGCATGTAATGTTTTTGCCAAAACACTACCCATGGACTTATAGAATGCATTATCCACAATCATGGTATTCTACACAGCATTGCTTCTGACTAAGGAACTCACTTCACAGCCAGAAAAGTGTCACAGTGGACCTATGCTCATGTAATACATTGGTCTTATCCTGTTTCTCACCATTCTCAAGTAGCTGGTCTGACATAATAATGGAAAAGAATCAAAGCCTGCTGATGTGCTTGCTCAGGATAGAGGAAATACAAAACAGGTAGAGGAAAATACCAGCTAAGGCCATGTGACTAGTCACAAAAATGAGGATTATAATTGACATAAGGGGTTTTGTAAATAACATATTTATGATTTCTTTCCTTGATTTTTTATCATGTAATGTAAAATCAATTGAGATAATATCAATGATTATCACATGTAAGATTTGAGTTACTAAAAGATGTCCCTCAAGGGATTACCACCTATTCTAAAATATATGTATTTGTACTTGTATGTGGGATATTTACATCATGTTAGGTGTTATTATGACCTGGTTATTGTTTTAAAAAATCAAGGAAAGAAATCACAAATATGTTCTTTACAAAACCCCTTATGTCAATTATAATCCTCATTTTTGTAACTAGTCATATGGCTTTAGCTGGTTGAAAATTAAACATGGCATAGGAAATATAATTGTATTTTAAGTTGACAAGGGGTGGACTTGTGACAGCTATTCTTGGTTGTCAACTTGACTACATCTGGAAGTAACTAAAACCCAAGCTTCTAGGCATACTTGTGAGGGATTTTTCTTGATTGGATTGTTTGAGGTGGGAAAACCTACCTTAATTCTTAAACACACTTTTTGGTGGCAGCCTATATAAAAAACATGAAAGAAGGAAGAATTTTCTCTTTGTCTACTTGCACTCACTCTCCCTGGCTAGTTGATTTCTTCACTGAGATTAGAACCTACTTTTTCAGGATTCCAATGTATATTGAAGATCAGATAATATATCCTGCTTTGTGAATTCTTGGCCTTTCTGTCAAGAGACAATCATTAGGATAGTTGGACCACAGAGTATAAGCCATTACAAAAAATCCTGTGTATGCAGTGTGTGTGTGTGTATGCATGTGTGTGTGTGCACTTCTTTTGTTTTACCAATTTTGTTTCTCTATCACAGTGAGTCTCAACCTTCCTAATGCTGTGATGCTTTAATACAGTTCCTCATGTTGTGGTGACCTCCAACAATAAAATTATTTTCTTTGCTACTTCATAGCTGCAATTTTGCTACCGTTAGGAATCATAATGTAAATGTGTGTTTTCTGAAGGTCTTAGGTGACCCCCGTGGAAGGGTCATTCAAGCCCCAAGCGGTCATGATGCACAGGTTGAGAGCCTGTGCTCTAGAGAATTCTGACTAACACTATGGGCATTGAGAATTTCTTCATATGTTTTTGACTCTCAGATTGCTCTGCAGTAGAATCCAACTTATTGGAGGTCAGGAATTGGGAGTATAGTTCTGGTATGAGGCTTCAGTGGGGATCAACAACATTGAACTCTGGACATCTAGTGACTCAGGCACAGCCAAGGACCCAAGGACATTCATGAGATTTTATATCTGGATGCAGGGAGGAACAGAATGATCTCAGCAACAAGATTCTAGGAGATGAAGAATGACATAGTCTTAAATTGGACATTTTTTCAAGACATGTAAATTTACAAGTAGAAGTAGTTATGAAATTCATGTGAATACCTACTTTCCCTCTCTGTCTCCTTTCTTTCTTCTGTTTCCACTTGCTTTTTTTTTTTTTTTTTTTTTGGTTTTTCGAGACAGGGTTTCTCTGTGTAGCTTTGCACCTTTCCTGGAACTCGCTTTGGAGACCAGGCTGGCCTCCAACTCCCAGAGATCTGCCTGCCTCCGCCTCCCGAGTGCTGGGATTAAAGGCGTGCGCCACGACCGCCCGGCTCCACTTGCTTTTTAAAAGGTTTATATTTAACTGTGTGTGCATGTGTGGAGAGAGAGAGAGAGAGAGAGAGAGAGAGAGAGAGAGAATGTAGATTCTGTGTGGGGTACATTCATAGGAGTATGGGTACCTGCAAAGGTCAGAGGCACCAAATTTTCCTGTAGCAGGAGTTACAGGCAGATTGGGCACTGGGAACCAAACTGGAGTCATCTATAAGATAAGCACATGTACTTAATTGCTAAGACATTTCTCCAGCTTCTTGTTTTGTTTTTAAGATGGAAACATTTTTAAGCTGTTAGAATCCTAACCAGAAGGTTTTCCTAGCTAGGAAATAACTTGAGGATGTTGGGAAGAAAATAACTAGTTCTTGAATAGAGGAGGGAGACAGACCCAGAGCTTTCTACCAAGGACCTCTAAGGTCATGCATTCATTCCTCTATCCATCCATCCATGTCTCTATCCATCTATGCATGTTTTTCTAGGCATCCATTCTGTGCACTCAATATGTAAGCTGTGCAAAAACATGGTCAAATGAATCTATTTCCTGACTTTAAGAAACTCACATTTATGTGGTGAGACAGACAGTGTGCATATAAATAAGTACTGTGTAAGAAATAGTACAAAGGAAAAAAGGAAGCTTGAGCACAGAGAAGCAGGGGTCAGGAGGCAAAGGTTGTCTGTTTGATGTAGTAAGTCTAGTGATCTTGGGTGACTAGTATCCTGAGGCTTGTGAAGAATTGGGGAAGAGATGGGAAGGACACAGCAGGTAGAAGGGCAGAAAGGGAAGAACATAGAGTTTACTGCCCCCATTCCAATGTCGTGAGAGAATGTGGAAGGGGAAGAGATGTTTCTGGAGAGACAGGATACAGAATCTGCATCTGGAGATCTCACTGGAGGGTGTGGACAAAGGTGGGGCATGATGCAATCTGTATTTTAAAATACAGTGGGTGTAGCAGGAGAAAGGCAGTAGGGGGAAAACAGTAGGAATAAGAAAGCTGATAATTCAGATAAGACAGATGATGGTGGCCAATGGCATGGGCCATATTTAAAGCTAAATGCCGAAGGAGTAGCTCAGAGTGCCAGAGAAACCAAACATGGCTCTCAGGTTACTGAAACTTCTGGAAAAAGGACACCATTTGATGACACTGGAGAAACAGGAGAGATTATAGGAACCAGGAATTTTTAGAAGATATCTTACTAGACACTTGAGTTGATAACTGGAGATACAAACTAGAGCTCAGGGGATATGGACATTCATAAACTGCATTACTTGCCTGTTAAATCCCCAACACACCCTTACCATTTTCCAGACAAACGCAGGCTGTGAAGGACATAGTCTTTCTAGGCACTTGCTACTTTATCTCTAGCTATGTATACACCAGGTCCTTTTGTCATACACTCTCTGATTTCTCCCTTCCTCCATTTCTTTCATACATGTGTCATTTCCTTTGCCTGGATTATTTTTCCACTTTTACTGGACTGTTTTTCTTTGAAACTTGGTTCTTTGGATAAGCCTTCCTGTCTTCTTGTGGTATAGATGGTCTGGATGTTCTTTTTCCTGCCTGTCACCACACTCTACCCAGTTCTCTATGGACAATAGCACCAGCATATTCGTCCTGGTACTCCACTAATTAGTTAAGTTAGCTTTGATAAAATGCAATAATCCTTTAAGTTTGACTCCTCATCTATAAACTAGGTGATATGAGATATTGTGTTTATGACATTGCCTGGCATAGTAGAAGTACCATGTAACTCCTTAAATATTATTATGATGATATAATACCTATTGCAATGTTCTGTAACAATTTTCATGTTGCTTTTTGCCTTCCAGTGGAGCCACTAAGCCTTTCCTCTGGGCTTCTGGCACACATTAAACCTCATTAATTCTTTCTAACATGGATTAATGCATTTAAGAATGAAGAAAACATAGCAGTGGGCTGTATCAGTAGCCTGAAACAAATTGTCACTTCTATGGGGGTCTTTCTATGCTCATATTCTTCTGGCTACCATACACCATGCTGAGAAGTCCTGGGTTGACTGTTCCAAACTATATTTTATTGAAGGAAAAAAGAATATTGTTACCTTTGGATCAGGCAGGCATGGCCCAAAGGCTTCCAGCAGAAGGGTCTCTTCTCTCACAGCATTCTCATAGTCTGCAAAGGACAACTTCCCATCATGGTCTTGGTCCTGAGAGGTGAACATCCTGGGTCAGTGAGCACATGGCACTCTTGCTGCAAATGCACACTCTCTTTCACAGTCAGGTGTTAGTAGGAGAATGAGAGATTCGGTTGGCAAGTTGAAAAATAAAGTTTGTAGTTGTGGGGGGGACAAGATGTTATTAATGGAATCAAGAGCCTCTCACATGCTAGGCAAGTGCTCTGTCACTGATCCACACCTGCAGCTCTAAGAAATCACTCTACTAACAAACAAAAGTTGACTCATTTAACTAAGCAGAATACTGAAAATCATCATCACTGAATTCTTACTTCTGTCCCACACATTGCTTATAAGTTGCAATATAAAAATTTTATGTTACTCATACTTACCATTTTCTTTTTTTCGAATTCTTTTAATTTTATTTATTTATTTATTTTTCTTTTTTTAATTAAGAAAAAAATTATTGAGAAAATATGTTTTTACATTCATTATGATCATTCACTTGGAAAATAGATGTAATCACATTGTAATTTCTATATTGCCGGATTTTGTTTGGTATATAAGCTGTAGAGGAAAAATAAAGGATCAGAGAATACAGAAGAAGAATAAAGAAGAAACCCATCAAGAGTGTATAAGTGTCTTTTCCCTTTACCCCTTCAGATAGAAAAGTCATATTATGCTGACTTCATGGATTCCTTTGGAGCCCTGGGCTGCTGGAGGCTGGTCCCCCAGGCAGCAAAACACAGAGGCTGCCTCTGACTCATTCAATGGATTTAGGGACCCTATTCCTCATATTGAGTTGCCTTGTCCAGCCTTAAGACAAAGGGAGATGCTTTATATCCTTACAACAGTTCCCTCCTTCCACTCTTAATAGTGCCCCCCATGCCTCCCCTCTGCCTCCTTCATCTACCCCTCCTCTGTTTCTATTCAGAAAAGGGCAGACCTCCCATGGATATCAACAAATCACGGCATATCAACTTTTAGTAAGACTTACCATTTTCTTAAGAGTAATTTCAACCAAATCTTTAATTCCTTCATCAGGGTCCTCCTCAGAGGGCTGCTTGAGAAGACTGTTCTTCAGCATGTGGAACATCTCTTCCTTTGAAATGAAGCCGTCACCATTCAGATCAAACACTTCAAAACAATCTAGAGAAAATTACATATATTATATATGTATATACACACAGCGTGTGTGTGTGTGTGTGTGTGTGTGTGTGTGTGTGTGTGTGTGATTGTGATTATCACTAAGGTGGCATTTTCTTCTGATAAAGCAGTCAGAAGGGAGTCATATCTTATTGTTTCATTATTTGGCTACTAGCTTGATGCTAGTCGACTTTCATGGGAAATATTCCCATTCCTCTTTACATGTTTCTTTAACTGACTACTAAAAGAAACTCCTAGGAGCACTAACCTGAGCATTATTGACTGGAAACATGGAAAAGCAATTACATGTTTATATTAATTATATTAAATGAAGTATGACTCCATCAGTTAAGAATTAAGAAGTAGAAAACTTAAATTGTGTTTTCTAGTTTAATGTTTGTTATCAATGTAAACTACTTAGAACATGAATGTACTGTTGCATGGTTGGACTGTAGATCACAACCTGTGGTGCTTCCTTTCATGACATTCTTTTAATGGCTTGATTTTCCTGTTAATTAATATACTCCCATTATTTATTCACTTAAATTTTCTCCATAAAAAAGGCCAATGAAGATTCACCAACTAACCAATCAACCAACCAATCAAACCCTACTTTATTGGTGGGTTGGAAACAGTAGTTTAAAAAGCTTTTGCTGATCCCTGGGTCCCAGCTGTTCCCCAGGAACACCCGGCCAACTTGGCCCCAGTTGCTGGCCAAAAGGCAGGGCTCCTCCTGGAAGGCTCCTTGTTCACCAAGACCCCTCAGCAGCAGACCCTGCAGTCTACACGCCCTGCCTCCATGCCCATCTGCCTGAGAACCCAGCCACTTTCTGAGACTTGAAAACTAACCCTCAGCCATATTTGAACCTAGAGGTGAGTGACTATGTTCATACCTGGTGAGGGTCAACCTAGGATCCATCCCTGGTTCCAGTAGTTCCCTGGGAACACCTGGCCAACTTGGCCCCAGTTCCCATCCAGCAGGCAGGGCTCCTACTGGAAGGCTCCCTGTTCACCAATACCCCTCAGCAACACACCCTGCAATCTACATGCCTTGCCCCCATTCCCATCTGCCCAAGACCCCAGCTACTTCCTATGGCTTGGAAACCAACCCCCAGCTCTATTCGGGCCTATAGAGAAAGCTCTCATTGGACAAAGGGCTGTCATTGCACCAAGGGTAACCTCAGCAGACAGGGAATCTGCTAGCCCTCATTAGACCAGGAGTGGCTTTCTGAGAAGTAAAATCTCCCACCTCTCATGGAACAAGAGAGGCTTCCTGAAACATAGAATCAGCCAGTTCTGCCTGGACCAAGAGTCCTGAGAAGACCAAGAAAGCATCTGTGACTCACAGAATCAACTAGCTTGGGTTGAACCAAGAGCAGCTCCCTGAGACACAGAATCTACCTGGTCCAATTAGACCAAGAGCTAAGATTAGACCTAGAAGGGCCCCCTGAGACACAGACACAACAAGCACAGAGTGGGCCAACAGCAACTCACTCAGACACAGGCATCTCATATACCCATTAGAGAAGGAGATGGGCTGATATCAAGTATATACAACAACATAAAGAGCAATACAGCATCACCAGAACCTAGCCCTCCTCCAACAGCAAGACCTGAAAATCACAAGACAGAAAAAGCAGAAGAAAGAGACCTTAAGAATAACATCATAAAAAAATAATAGCATCATGAAGATGTTAGAGGCCTTTCATGAAAAATGAAATTGAGGAAAAGATGAACAAAAAGTGGATGAAACCAATAAAGAAATTGAGAAAAAGACAAACAAAAATTGGAATAAATAGAGGAAAAGACAAAAAAATTGGAAGAAAGCAATAAAGCCCTTAAAGAAAACCATGAAAAAGCAATCAAACAGGTGAGGGAAACAGTTCAAGACCTGAAAAGGGAAATAGAAACAATGAAGAAGATACAAACAGAGGGAATGCTGGAAACAGAAAATCTGAGTAAACAAATAAGATAACCAACAGAACACAAGAGATAGAAGAGAGGATCTCTGGTATTGAGGATACAATAGAGGATTCATCAGTCAAAGAAAATACCAAAGCCAAAAATGTCATAACACAAAATGTCCAAGAACTCTGGGACACCATGAAAAGACCAAACCTAAGAATAATAGGGATAGAGGAAGAAGAATACCAACTCAAAGGCACAGAAAATATATTTAACAAGATAAAGGAAGAAAACTTTCCCAACTTAAAGGAGGAAATACCTATGAAGATACATGAAGCCTATATAGAACACCAAACAGACTAGACACCACCAAAAAGTCCCCTAATCACATAATAATTAAACAATTGAACTTATAGAATAAAGAAAGGATATTAAAAACAGCAAGGGAAAAAGGCCAAGTGACTTATAAAGGCAAACTCATCAGAATAACACCTGATTTCTCAATGGAGACTTTGAAAGCCAGAAGGACCTGGACACATGTAATGCAGACACTAAGAGACCGTGGATGCCAGCCTAAACTAATATACCTAGCAAAACTTTCAGTCATCATAGACGGAGTGCATAAGACATTCCAAGACAAAACCAGATTTAAAAATATCTATCCACAAATCCAGCCCTACAGAAAGCACTGGAAGGAAAATTCCAACCTAAGGAAGTCAGATACACCCACAAAAACACAGGCAATAGATAACCCCAGAGCAGTAAACCCCAAAAAAGAGAAGTACACACACTACCACCAAAAGGAGCTAACAATCACTGGTCATTAATATCCCTTAATATCAATGGACTTAATTCACCTATAAAAAGACACAGACTAACAAAATGGATACAAAAGCAGGACCCATCTTTTCTGCTGCATACAAGAAACACACCTCAATTTCAAAAACAGACACTACCTCAGAATAAAAGACTGGGAAACGTCTTTCGAATCAAATGGTCTTAAGAAGCAAGTGAGTGTAGCCATCCTAACATCCAGCAAAATAGACTTCAAACTAAAATCAATCAAAAGAGATCAAGAAGGACATTACATACTCATCACAGGAAATATCCATCAAGGTGAAGTTGCAATTCTGAACATTTATGCCCCAAACACAAGGTCATTATGTAAAAGAAACATTACTAAATCACACATAAAACCCCACACATTAATAGTGAGGGACTTCAATTCCCCACTCTCACCACTGGACAGATCTGCAAAATCGAAACGTAACAGAGAAATAAGGGACTTAACTGATGTTATGACTCAAATGGAATGAATCAATATCTACAGAACATTTCATCCTAACAAAAAAGAATAGACCTTCTTCTCAGCACTCCATGGAACCTTCTCTAAAATCGACCACATACTCAACCACAAAGCAAATCTCAACAGATACAAAAAAATGGAATAACCTCCTGTGTTCTATCAGACTACCATGGTTTAAAGTTAGATTTCAACAACAACAAAAAATACAGAAAGCCTACAATCTCATGGAAACTGAATAATGCTCAACTGAATCACCAATGGGTTAAGGAAGAAATAAAGAAAGAAATTAAAGACTTCCTAAAGATCAACAAAAATGAAGATACCACATACCCAAACTTATGGGACACTATGAAAGCAGTGCTAAGAGGAAAATTCATCACACTAAATGCCCACATAAAGAAGTTGGAGAAATCTCACACTAGTGACTTAATAGCACACCTGAAAACTCTAGAACAAGAAGCAAAGTCACCCAGGAGGAATAGATGTCAGGAAATAATCAAATATAGAGCTGAAATCAATAAAATAGAAACAAAGAGAACAATACAAAGAATCAATGAAACAAAGAGTTGGTTCTTTGAGAAAATCAACAAGAGAGACAAACCCTTATCCAGACTAACCAAAAGGCAGAGAGAGAGAGAGAGCGCATCCAAATTAGCAAATTCAGAAATGAAAAGGGAGACATAACAACTAACATTGAGGAAATCCAGAGAACCATCAGGTCATACTTCAAAAACCTGTATTCCACAAAACTGGAAAATCTAAAAGAAATGGATAATTTTCTGGATAGGTACCACATACCTAAGTTAAATCAAGACCAGATAAACTACTTAAATAGACCAATAATCCCTAAGGAAATAGAAACAGTCATTAAAATTCTCGCAACCAAAAAAAGCCTAGGACCAGATGGTTTCAGCACAGAATTCTACCAGATATTCAAAGAAGAGATAATACCAATACTCTTTTAAATTGTTCCATACAATAGAAACAGAAGGAACATTACCAAACTCCTTCTATGAGGCTACAATTACCCCATTCCCAAGCCAAACAATGAAAGAAAGAGAACTACAGGCTAATCTCCCTCATGAACATTGATGCAAAAAATGCTCAATAAAATGTTGGCAGTTGATTACCTTGAACTGTTTGGGAGGCCCCCAGGCAGTGGAGCCAGGACCTGTCCTTGGTACATGCGCTGGCTTTTTGGAGCCTGGGGCCTATGCTGGGACACTTTGCTCAGCCTTGCTGTAGGAAGGTGGGGAATGGACCTGCCTTGGCTGAGTCTACCAGGCTGGGCTGACTCCCCAGGGGAGACTTTGCCTTGGAGGAGGTGGGGATGGGGGTGTCGATTGGGGGGATGGCGGGGGTGGGGTGTGGAGGGGGTGGGGGGGTGGGAGAAGGGAGGATGAGGGAATCTGTGGCTGATATGTGAAATTAAGTTAATTATAAAATAAAAATACTATAAAAATAAAAAGCTTTTGCTATGTTTATCTTAATGTATAAACTAGCAGGTCATCTGCAAGCTTACATTTCATTTTTTCTTCTAAAGTCCCTCGAAGAAACAGTGATAATCCATGAATCCACTCAGATACATTTACACAGCCATCATTGTCTTTATCAAAACCTCGAAATACTAAAAATGACACAATGTAATAGTTGTGTTGAATTTTAATCCTGCATAATATATCAAACTTAACTTCACTCTCCATTTCACAGCTGTTTCAAGCCCCAAGGTCACCATGCCCTCATTTGACAAAAGAAACTGAAACACATAACCTGAGAAAACTCTTTTAGTTATATATTCAACTTCCTCTTCATATGTTGTAGGAATAGCTAATGTTCTTTATATATAAAATATGGGTAAAATGATAATATACTGGCACATTAAACATGCTAGTCATTAGATATTTAAGCTTCTTAATAAAAAATATTTTATGTTTTCATTCCTCAAGATAAGCTATGTTGTTACATGTTGAGAGTGCATCTTAACTGGTATGTAGTATTTTCTAGCATGTAAGAAAATTTAAGTAGAAGTAGAACACTTTGGGGCTTTTTGTATGAGTACGAAACCTAGCTACCCAATAAAATTTTGTTCTCTTTCTAAACAACAAAAGGAATAGGAGACTAATTCCATCTCCAAACATTTTGGAAGATTAAAATATATTCAAATGAAATTGGGAAATGTAGAACATGAGATTCTTCTTAAGAGCATAACCAAACTTAAACCTTTGTTAATTACAGTTTAATTTGGCAATCTCTCTCAAATGTGCATCTTACCTCTGTCCATAATCATGTCATCTGTCATTCCAAATGTCACATGCAGGATGTTCCGAAATGCATTACGATCTAGTCCAATGACTACTCCTGGTCTTTCTGCTACATCTCCCACCAAGTTATAGAAAAGCGTAATAAGACAGTTCACTTCAAATTTATTAACTGTAAAAGATCAAAATGGACACATAACAAAAGTATACTTTAAAATCTTAGGCTCTATTCAAATACTGTATTAATGAGTTTATATGTTCAAAATCAAAAGCATCTAATGAATGAAAGTGGCTTGGTCGCCACTTTCAAGTCTCCCATATCCTGAGCCATAGCCTCAGAGTTAAAAGATGATGCCAACGTCACATTATACACTAATAGAAGGTAAGTTATTCGTGGAACCAAATGCTAAGTAGAAATAGATTACATTGCATTTAGGATGAAAGATGATGGCAGCAATGTGATCCAAATGACTGTGGTGTCAGATTCGAGACTTCACAGTACAGACAGAGGGCACGTCACAGTTGTGTTGTTTGAGACTGCTAGCAACAGCCAGCATTTGATGGTAGGTGTTTATGGCAGCTACAAATGAGCATTTCCCTGGAAGTTTAGGCTCCTAAATATCTATGTACTCATTTTCACTTTAGTTTAGGCCTAGTGAATTTATAAGGCAGAACCTTGAAATCAGAATTATTTTCTAATAAAGGAATTTTAAGCAAGTTCTACTAACCAGCATGGTTCTTCTCCAAGTTGTGTGAACATTAACAATAAACTGTTCAGGATTACTTTGGTAGAAGAATTTCTTTTTAGTTTAAAACTCTCTCTCTCTCTCTCTCTCTCTCTCTCTCTCTCTCTCTCTCTCTCTCTCTCTCTCTCACACACACACACACACACACACACACACACACACACACACACAAGAGAAAGAGGAAAGAGTGAGAGAGAGACAGAGAGAGAATATGAGAGAGAGGGAATGAGAGAGAATGAGAATGAATACTTACTGGCATTAAGAACATAAGTGAAAGCTGGTAACATAGCTCAGCTGGTAAAAAACAAACACTTGCCTTGCCAAGAAGGCCTAGTGATTTAAGTTTAAAAATACACACACACACACACACACACAACTTATGCAACAGCAACAACACTAGCACCATCAACAATAACAGATAAAACATTTTAAAATTCAGTTTAGCAAAAAGAACTTAAGTTAATTTAAATGTGAGATATGAGTGGAGAGGGTAAAATTTTATTTAAAACCAAAAAGAAAATAGGTGAACACTTTCATACATAAGGACGTCTATGTGTGAGAGAAAATAGAGAAATTGCACATTATTTTACATGCCACAACAGATAGAGAGTGGTTCCTGGTTTTAAGAATCACATTTTAAGAGAAAGCTTAAAACTTTGGAAAAGGAAAAAATAGTAATTAGATAGTATAAAACAATATAATTGTTAAGATTTTTAAATGAGCTGTAAGTTACTGTGGAAAACAGCATGCCAGTCCCTAAAAATAAATAGTGTGATCCAATGATTCTACTTCAGCATGCACACACATTAAAAAACTGAAAGAAGCTGGTGGATTAACAAGCTGCCTACCTAAGACCCTTTCTTCTCTGGTTCAACACAATGAATCTGTCTCATTTACTGTGTCATAATCTGCTATTTAAAGACATTTTAAATGATCATAATGTCCATGAGCTGTAGCTGTTTAAACAGAACATACCACTTAGATTTCACTAATAATCACTAAAGTTTCAAGGATTTATGTAAAAATTTTTACTTAAGATAAAAAATCAAGAGATTTTTTTCCAGACATGTTTTTACTCATAATTTAAATCTATACAAAGTTTAGAGTTTAGCTCAGTGGTAGATGGCTTGCATAGCATGTTTAGTCCTTAGTACTGCGATTAAAATACAAAGGAAAAACCACTAATTTTTCAATTGTTCTCAGTGTTTGTTAGTGAAGCAGTGTGAACTTATTAAACAGACTCAATCAATTGAGCATCTGTTCTGTACTGGTCAGACATGTTTGTATTCATTTTAGAAATATCAGGTATTCTCCTAGAAAACTCTGGGACAAGGACAACTCTGTTTTTCAGTCTGAGTACCATGCACTGGTGTCTGGTCATTTGGAGGAGCTCCTTCACCTTTGAAACCCACTAGTAATTGGAAATTGAGTGTCTGAAACTGGGGACAGATTCTTTACCATCTTGAATTTACTCAGCAATACAGTTTTCAAATAGACTACCTCTTCCCAAGACATTGTCTGTAGCACTTCAAGTCTCTTTCTTAAAGGTGTCCAGGAATGGATGACTGTTTTCCCTTATGCAGCCCTTAGTAAGAGCTACAGTGTACTACTTTCTTGATTCTAGTGTTTTTCTAGAACTTTTTCAACCTGTCTAAAGCTAAAGACACATACCTCCCAGGCACATAGCATCTCACTTCTTTGACATAAACACATAAAAAAAAGAGTCTTTGAATTTAGTGAGTGTGTGTGAGGGAGCGTAGGCAGCACACACTAGACGCTTGCCATATGGTTGAGTTCTAAAGATCCTGGGACTGGATGAGTAGCTGACATCCCAGAAAAGGATTCTCTTCCAGATTTCTCTTGAGGGGTAGTGTGGAGGGGCCCTTGTGGTGGAAGCCGGAAGGAGGCACTAGGTAGGAAAGAGACCTGGCCCAGAAGTCCTGGGTCCTCCAGCATTCGGTTCTTACTTACAATGCTTGCAACTTTTAGTTAAGGTGTCCGTCAACTTCTGTAGCTTCTTTCGGTTCATGGTGGGTGCTCATATAATTAGGTCTCAGTGTCATCTGGAGCCAGGTCCCTTAACAAGCTCCAGGCTGAAAAGGCCTGGTGCAGACTCCTTGGCATTTGCGGCCCTAACAGATAGTGTGGCCATGGCAACGCCTTAGAGGGCCACCAATTGGCTCCCGGGGGCGGGCACGCGAGACATAAATGAGGCCCCTGCACACAGAGGAGCCATGGCAACCGCTGGGCCTGCTGCAGATTGGCTCCTGCTCTGGAGGTTGAGCAGTCAGACTAGAAAAGCTTGTGGCTGGAACTGCCAGCCCTGGCTGCCCAGCCCCTGCAGTCCAAGTTGCAGAGTTCCAACCTAGCGCTCTGCAGACTGTTGATTGCCAGGTTGGGGTTTTTAATTTCCACTTGTCATTGTCTTTTTGGTTCACAGTCCCTCAAGATTGCGATGTAAATATTCAGAAGTCTAAGAATAAGGTGTGCATATTATGTAGATGTTTTGGACGGGATTTAGGGTCTTCAAGGAGGTCTGTGGAAGTGCTGGAGGGAAATAGGTGTCATTCAAACAACTGTCACAGTGGCTTTTTGCCGAAGTGTGAGAATTTTCTTCAGGACTAATTGACCACCAGAAGTGAGTCTGAACAGTTAGACTTGAACTGTGTTGCTGAGAACCTCTCTCTCTCTCTCTCTCTCTCTCTTCCTCTCTCTCTCTCTCTCTCTCTCTCTCTCTCTCTCTCTCTCTCTCTCTTTCATCTTCTGTCTCACTCTTTGGAGGTGGAGGTTGTCAGTCAAATTTGCAAAAAGCCACTGTCAAATTTTAAGTTTGTTAATTAAAGTTACATCCTCTTATATGGAAATGGGTTCCCACTTAAGTGCGGGGTATAACCCAAGCTTGCTTTTTAAAAATATATCCCATTAAAACTAATGTTTTACCAGTTCTGGCTCTGTTTTTTTAAAAAATAAAAGAATCATTATACATCTGTAGTACTGCAGTACTTTCTGCTTTACTCATTAACAGATGGGGTGCTCTGTTTGAATTTAGACCTAAATGAACAGGCTATCTCAACATGAACCTTCAGAGAGCAACGGCTGGGAAATCACAGGAGTTTATTGAAAACATAATGTCCTTTTCAAACTGAAAATAGAAAAATACTGCCAAGAATAAGGAACAACCCCAAATGAAATAGTTCCAGTGTTGAAGTGCCTGGTTTTCTTTTACAGTTTTATTTGTAGAAATAATTACAAAGCTGTTTGAAACCAGAACCAAGAACCAGGGACTTTGCCTCCCTAAAGAAAACTGAGAACTGTTAACCAATATGAAATGACCACCTTAAATCTAGAAAGTGAGCAACTCTGAGATAGTAGAAGCAAATGAGAAGGACTGAATATATTGTGATTTTTTTTCCCATAAAATCATAGAATTTCCCCCCTACATTTCGGAGTTGAATTGAAGCAAAAGCCAGGGAGTAGGTGTGGCTGTCAGTTGTTAATGACATAATCCATGGGCATGTGAGGTGTCTTAGGAAACAGCTTTGACTGATGGTAAACACATTAATGAGTGTGCCCAGGCATCCAGGAAGACAGCACACATTGGACGACTCTTGATGGCACATACAGATGAGATAATTGCTTATTTCAACCAGACCATATCGGCCATTTTCCCGTAAAGTGAAAAAAAAAAAAAATGTAGGGTCAATATTGGAGCCTGTTGAAATTAAAAATAGGCAAGTGCTTACAGTAGACAAGCATCTCTTAGCCATTGAGCAACATTTGAAAAAAAATTTCCTTTGTTTCCTAAAATCTAATTGGACTAAAGAGATCTACATAAATTGTGTGCAGCTTGTCAGCAAATCTTTGTCAGGGTATATTTATCTGAGGCATGTTTTGTCAGCACACTAGTATAATTCAGACCACCCACCACATTTTGTGAAAAATTAAAATCCATACTTCTTCCATTTCAGAAACAAATTGCAGGCCTCTAATCAAATTTAAGATAAAATTGAAATTTCTATTTGTAATTTTTAGTTGCTTGAGATGAACAGACTCAGGGCTGCCTTCCCTTATGACTTCCTTTTTTTTTGTTTTTGTTTTTTTGTTTTTTTGTTTTTTGTTTTTTGAGACAGGGTTTCTCTGTGTAGCTTTTCTCCTTTCCTGGAACTCACTTGGTTGTCCAGGCTGGCCTCGAAATCACAGAGATCCACCTGGCTCTGCCTCCCGAGTGCTGGGATTAAAGGCGTGCACCACCACAGCCCGGTGGCCCTTAGGGCTTTCTAAGAGTAAATCAAGTAAGTGTGAATGCTTAACTTAGATCAGGTCAGCTGATAACACAACAACAAAAGATTGTGGTTCATTTGTGTTGGACAGCAATTTTACTGTGCATGAAATGATCTTGGAACTCTCTAAAGTTCAAGAAACCTTGAGATGGATATTTTTCTAAATACAAAAGCTATATTTAAATGACTATTAATGCTATAATGTTTCCTTTAATTTGGGGTTACCTTGACTTGCTATTCTTTGGAATGTTGCCATGATAAATAACTTAGACCTTGACTTGATGGAAGTGTTTTCTTAACATGAACCTTTTATGATGAAGGCACTTAGAAGCTCTTTGGGAAATGACATCATAGAATTGATGTTCAACTGTAGTGTATTATAAATATGGAATTGCTTTAATAAAAGGAACAGAGAGCTTGGTTGTCTGCATTATTTAAATTCAATTTTACTAATTTATTTTATAGCAATAATGATAGAAGCTTGGAGTTAAGTTTAGTCAGTTGTTTGAGTTGAATATTCTCTGCTATTAGTGGTCATTTTGTCTTTTGCTCAGATATTGTGATGATAGCCTCTTTTTAAAACCAAGAGTCCACCAAACATTGAACATCAGGATTTCTGGATACATTTCATCTCTGTCCATCAGAAATTACACTTCTTCAAATAGGTCTTTTGATATTTCTATGAAATCCTCTTTATTTATCCTCTTGCCAAGGAGCATTAACTTTCAAACACTCAGCACTAAACTGTGAATTACCTGATGTTGTACATTCTCTATTCCAATATGTAAATTTATTTTAATCAATGTCTTTATGTGCATTTGTCTAGCCTTTGTCTATACTTCTGAAGTTTAACAAGCCCAAATTTGGATTTGTATTAACAGAAATCAGATAGGAAAATGTGCAATGAGAAGGAAAAAATGTTGCCTTCTGGTTCTCCAAGGCATCTCTGTGTGGAGCCCTGTGTGGGACACCACAGAGGGAGGGATTTCTATCTGCAGTGGAGTCCTTAAAGGGAGTGGGGCACTAAGGAAAAGCTTTCTTTCAAACTAGCTTTTCCCCAAAGTGCACACTCAGCCCTCACTGGTGTTAATATAGTCAAGACATTTTTTTTTTCACAATCAAGTGACCAGTAGGTAAACTAATGTAGATGTAATTCTAAATGGTTTTATTAAATAAGAAACACAGAGCCAAATAAAGAGCCCAGAGATCGAGCAGCAGCCAAGAGCTAAGACCACCTTATCTTACCACACACTGCCATCCTTCCCCTGAGAGAGAGACCTTCTTCCTGTGTCCTATCTTTTTATTGCCTTTCTGTTCTGCCTTCTCATTGGTTCTAAACCCAAGCATATGACTTCCTTGTCACTGCCTGTTTACATAGACCTCCAGGTCTCTATGGTTTGTACTGAGATTAAAGGTTCAGGTCACTGCCTGGCTGTGTCCTTGAACACACAGAGATTCTGCCTGTCATGTGATCGGGATTAAGGGCATGTGCTACCACTGCTGAACTTCTGCTAAATGGCTTGCTCTTAGCTCTGATTCCCAGGCAACTTTATTTATTAACATACAAATAAAATCACATTTCAGCACAAATAAAATATCACCATAAACTAATTCTTAAGGTTTATCAAAGTAGGATTCTTACAATTCACATGTAACCTAAAAAGTTGGAAATGAAGTTGTGGCCTGTAGTAAGTAGCTATTAGATGAACATGTCAGTAGTATGAGTAAAGAAGACATTGGTTTCTCTAAAACTTCATGAACCCAATTATAAATCCAATGGGATTGTGGGACTGAAGTCTACATAGGCTGCACCGTAAGCTTCTCTGACAAGACTTATGATAACTGTGCTGTTTCCATAGCTACCACAGGGACAGTAGGTACTCTCCCTTTCCCAACAAAATACCAGGATGCTGTAACCTACTAATGAGAACTAGGAAAGTGGCCATACACCTCCTCCATATCTTTGTAATAAACTTTCCATGCTTTACCAAGATTTCACCACTACTAGGCTTGTAAGCCTCTTCTCTGGCCAATCTATAGATATTTAAAGGATGGACAGGGCTAGAGAGATGGTTCAGTGGTTAAGAGCATTGACTATTCTTCCAAAGGACCTGGGTTTCCATCACCCACATGGCAGCTCACAACTGTCTGTAACTCCAGTTCGAGGGAACCCAGCATCCATGGCAAAAACATCAATATGCATTAAAAAAAAGTAAAGGCTGGATCTCCAAAGGTAACCCATAGATCATGACATGCACTGAGGACTTGAATTCATTCAGAACAGACATCAATAGAAAACCTATGACTGTCAGACTGTGGGCATTTTTGAACAGGAAACGGGAATCAGCATTTGTAGTATTAAAATTTGGAGAATTCCACATATTCTCATCTGTGAGCAAAAACTCATGAGAACTTGAACTTCCTTTCCTTTTGTCCAAGCTGGGATTTGAAAGCAAGGCCTGTGCATACCAAGAAAATGCTGACTTTCACTTCTTTAAGACTGTTTCATACTTGATGAGTCTTAATAGAGTTAAAATTTGTATCAATACTTTCACTGTTTCTTCATTAAGTCAAACTTTATGCTAATACCAGCAGGTCACTATACTGATGTTATTGAAAGCATCTGGAGTGCTCACCTTTGAATTTCTTGGCTGTGTTGCTGGGGAAATGACAGGGATTGCTTGGTGCATTATCCCAGGAACCTACTGTCTCTTCAAAATGATCTCTCACTAAAATAAATGCTACCAGCCAACACCCCCCCCCCGAGAACAATGCTGTCTAATAGCTGGGTGGACAAGACTCATTCTCCAGCTCTGGGTAATTTGCAGTGGTATATCAATCTATGGGCATTTGAAGGGACATTTGTAGGACTGGAAACTAG